CCATGTGTGCCCACGGTTTCTGGGTTTTGCCGGTCTGGGCTGCAAGGTCTTATCCGAGTTTTTACCTGGTCTTACCTGTGTGTGATCCAGCACCTCTTTAAACCTCCCTAAGTTATTTGTGCTTCTTTGCCTGGAAAACTCTCGCGAGCTTCTGTCAGGCGGCGTATCACACGCTTAAATGCGCCATCTCTCTGTCCTCAGAACCTCATGTGGGAAAGACTGATTAGCTCCCTCTCACAGGTAAGGGATGGTCTCATTTCCTTGATATTACAGGGGCCAGGCATGGAAGCCACTGGAAACTGCTGCTGTGCCTCTCAGACCCAGCGGGCTTAAGCTCCCCTCCCGCCCTGATGCCAGGACAGGGCTGAGGTTCCAGGTCCCAGGGGCCTCAGGTGGGCCTTCTAGAGACAGGAGTTCCTGCAGGGTGAGCTTCCGACCCTTGAGTCCCAGTTCTTGGCTGTCTCCAGGCCTCTCCCTTTTCCTGTTTTGGTGCTGGCTCAGCCAGGCCCGGAGACAGGGGCATGATGTCTTAATCCTCCGGGTGGCAGCCATGATGGATTCTCCACTGGCTTGGCCACCTGCTGACCCCTCCCTTCCCACACACCTATCTGCCCCACCCGGCGCCCGACGTGGGGACCCCTGAGCCCTGGCACCCTGCCTGAGTGCGGAGGGGCCACCCTGGCGGGCCCACGATGCCCCCCAACTCTTTCCAGAAAGCAGGTGGGGTGGGGGACCGGGCTGCCCGCCCTGGGCTCGGCTCTGGCTGCCACAACAGTCGTAAATCAGGGGAAGAGGGGGTGTCGGAAACGGGTCTGCGGAATGTCTGGATGGGGCAGGGAGGGGGTGAGTGCTTAACTCTTAGAAGCACAGGGTGTGGGGCCAAGGGACTGGCTTGCCTGGCCCTGAGGATGCGGAAGAGCAGCCGGTACGGGACGCGGGGTCTTCCTGCTACTACAGCAGCGGCAACGAAGAGGTTATTTCCCCAGCCCAGGCTGGGGAATAAATTGAGGTGCGAGGCGTCCCCACCCTCGGGATCTGCCCGTCACAATGGCCACAGGAAGAGTCCTACTCTGCTCTCTGCTGCTCCTCTCGCTGCAGCCGGGCCTCGGCAGGGGCCCTGGTGCTCGGGGGGCTCCGGTGGTGGAGGAAGAGCCACGAGGGACCCTGAGGCTGCAGCTGGGTAAGAACCCCCTCGGACCCTGCACGACTCCCCCACTCCTTCCTGCTCAGACCCTGCTCGCTGTCAGCTGCCCCTTGTCCCCTGCAGGTGCCCGCCTGCGCAGAGCCCTGGCCAGCCCGTGCCAGCTGTGGAGCCTGCCCCTACCTGTGGCCGAGCTGGGTCTGGGCTACGCTTCCGAGGAGACGGTCATCTTCCGCTACTGTGCAGGCAGCTGCCCCCGCGGTGCCCGCACCCAGCACGGCCTGACGCTGGCCCGGCTGCGGGGCCAGGGCAGAGCCCACGGCGGGCCCTGCTGCCAGCCCACCCGCTACACCGACGTGGCCTTTCTCGATGACCGCCACCGCTGGCAGCGGCTGCCCCAGCTCTCGGCGGCTGCCTGCAGCTGCGGCGGCTAAGGACGCCAGGCCTGGGGCCCTGCAGCCGCTTGAGGAGCCCTGCTGACCTATTTATCGGAGACTTGGATGCCGATGAGATCAGAGGGGCGGTGGGCTGGGGGCCGCCTGCAAGGAGCATAATAAAGGAAACTGCTGCTGCATGACTGTGTTCAGCCAGGGTGTGCCCTGACCCTGCCACCGAGCTCCCTGTGCGTGGACAGGGAGGATCCTGGGCTTCCCCTGCACCTCTCGGCGCCTGCAAGCAGCCAGCTCAAGGAAGGCCAGTCTGTCCATTTTCCAACTTTATTCACAAACGTGGTGTGTGTCTGGTGCGGGGGAGAACCTGAGGGAAGGGCCTGGCGTTCAGCAGGCTGTGGGGGGCTGCCCAGGCTCACCTGGTCCCATCCCCTCAGGGAGGGAGCGGCAGATCACAGAGATGCGTCGGCCCCGGGGAACCCGACGCCCCCCAAAAAAGGACTCTTCATCCCGAAGAATCTCATGGGAGAAGTCATAACGGGCCGAGCCCCTGCAAGAGAAAACAGGCTCGGGCTGGGTGGGGTGAGGGCAGCCCCTGCGCAGGGCAGGCTGCCTGGTGGGTGAGGCGCGCGGGACGGGGGTGGGGGGAGGAGATGATCGCGTCTGCGGGGAGGGCTGAATAAGAGAAGGTGCGCAACGTGTGAGGTGGGTGAGCATCTGATGAGTTACGGGTGGGGTGGGGGCTCCTTGGCTGAGCAGTACCTAAGGATGTAGAGGGAGCCTGGCTCCAGCAAGAGTTCCAGCCACTCCCCCGGCTCCTGGGTGTGCACCAGCCGCATGACGCTGGGAGATAGTAGGGATAGGCCAGCGATGGTGGCTCCACAGAACTGGAAGAGAGGGCATGGTGGCCAGTCAGTCTGTGGCCTGGCCGGCCCACCCCCAGCTGGGGGGCTCCAAGGCTCTGGCCGCCGCCCACCTTGATGCTGTCCACATGTGGCTTGATGTAGCCCCGAGGTTCCAGGTCCAGCACATGCACCGAGGACAGCAGGGTCTGGCCAGGGCTAAAGGCGGCCGCTTGCACACGCTGCAGGATGGCCCGGCTTGCCTCTGACCAGCGTGACTTTTCTGTCTCTCGGAAGCCGTGGATGGCCTGCACGGAGAACTTGGGTCAGGCCAGGAAGCTCTCAGAGGGAACAGGGAAACTGAGGCACGGTGGTGGGGGGCAGAGTGCACAGCAAAGGACTGGTTTTCCCAACATGACCCTTGACCCCGCCTTCAACTCACCACCTTGGTCCTATCTACCCTATAATCCTGGGTCTCAAACCCCAACGCCAACCCTTACCCCATCTAGGTCTAGTCCTACTCCTTTGTATCCGCCCTTGAGCTCCAATTCAGTCCCAGATCCAGTCCCCAACGCTGGCCCCCCCGCAATACTCAATTTTGTCTCCGCCCACAACTTGATCCCACTCCAGTCCTCTGTCTCCGCACCCAACTGGTGACCCTCCCTCATCTCGCTCCACACCTGTTTCCGCCCCTAACCTTGGTCCTGTCCCCCAAACACCCCACAGTTCCAAGTCTGCCCTCCAGTTACGGCCCTGCCCTCATCGCCAAAGTGCTTTCCCAGCCAGCAAAACACCTCGGCATCAAACCCCGCCCCATGCCGCCAGCCGCGTTCCCAGCCGTAGCCCCCGGCGACCCAGCGTTCCACCCGAGTCTTCACCTCTAACGTCACTGGCCCCGCCTCCGCCGTAGCCCCGCCCCGAGGCCCGCCCCCCGGGGCCGCCGGCCTCACCGCGTCCCAGTGATCGTATTCGTAGCGGCGGCGGCGCAGCTCGGGCTCCAGCTCGCGGCTCAGCGTCTCCTCCTCGGCCGTGCTCAAGAAGCCGGGCCGCACCAGGGCCGCGTCCCGAAGGCGGCTTAGTACGGCTGGGCCCGAGCCCCGCACCCAGCTGGACCGGGGAAGGGTCCCCAGCGCCAGGCGGCCACTTGCGGCCATAGCCCCCAGAGCCGGGTCTTGGAAGCTGTCGGAGTCAGGGCAACGCCCCCGCTCCGGAGCCATTGGCTGTGGCTTCACCGAGCCCCTTCAGTGATTGGCCTTCCTCGGAGTCCCGCCTTGCTCTCCGCCCCGTCAAGAATACTGGTTGCTGCTCAGCTCGCGTCTCAAGCTATTGGCTCCCCATAGCACCCGCCTCCTTTCGCGCGCTATTGGGCGTCGTCCACGGTGGAGGCCGGGGGTCGGGGCTCGGCGGCGAGTTATGGCCTCGAACTCGAGGTCAGGAGTTGCAGGAGGATTTAGGCCAACGCCCAGGTTGTGGAGTTGGCCAGGACTAGAGATTAAGGGGACAGCACAGTCAGGTTGAGATGAAGGGGTCAAAGGCACAGAGGTCAGGGCCAGAGGTCAAAGGCACAGGGAGTGGGGCCAATTTAGAGGTTGGGGTCAAAGGTTAAAACCAAGCATCACCCTTTTCCCCTCGGGATTGGGTTATTCCCACCCCTGTACAAACAGACTGGCTCCCACCCGCCTGGGTGTCTCCCTATTTGTTGATCATCTGACTCTCGATGTCAGCTCAGGTCATGATCCTAGAGTGGTGGGATAGTGTCTCTTTATACTTCAAGTCACCGGAAATATCATGGACAGATGTCACAACCCGTCCTAATCCAATCATCAAAATTCAGAGGAAAGTCCACAGGACAAAGGACCTTGTTTCTCCAACAAGGGAATTTCAAAGGAAGACAAGAAAAAGAGGGAGAGATTGAGACAGAGATTAAGGGCAAAACCCACAGTTAAAGAGACTTTGAGATATCTCCACCAGTTGCAAGGTATGCGCCTTATTTGGAAGTTGATTTGAACAAATTAATAAAAATAGAGACAACTGGGGAGATTTGGACACTGGTTGACTATTTGACCGTAGTAAGTACTGTTATTTTTTTAGGTTTCAAATGGCATTGTGGTTGTCTTTTAAAAGATTTATCCTTTTAGAAATACCTGTGGAAATATGGACTCCCTGACCCCTCCAGTGACAGCCCCGTGTTCTCTGCTCTCCTTATACAACAAAGTTCCTTGAAGAACTTGTCCAGCTCCCCTGTCTTCCTGCCCCTGCTGTCTGGATGCACTCCAATCTGGCTTTGGCCCCCACAGCACGGGAAATGCTCCTACTTGAGGCATAGTGACTTCCACTGTGCCAAATCCAGCAGCCAGTTCTTAGCCTGACTGCTTATTTATAGAGATACGTTCTTATTTGATTTTACATTTTTATCCCCAGCTCTGACCGCAGATTCATCATCTCCTGGGATGTCTAAGGCACATCAACACCAGTAACGGCCAAACTCAACTTCTGATTCCCGGTCCCCCAACCAGTTCATGGGCTCAAGCCAGGCGTCTGACTCTGCACTGACAGCTTGGAGCTTGGAGCCCAGAACCTGCTTCAGATTCTGTGTCTCACTGTCTCTCTGCCCCTCCCTCGCCCCTCCCCTGTTCGCACTCTGCCTCTCTCTCAAAAATAAACACACACTAGGGGCGCCTGAGTGGCCCAAAAAAACCCGAAGCCCTGGCTGGAATCTGACCCCCTCTGACCACCTAGCTGGGGCTGCCAGCCTTCTTCTGATTATTCTGATTAGTCCACTTCTCCTAATGGGTCTCCAGGCTTCCATGCCGGCTGCACTTTGCCCACCCCTCCATGGGAGTCCTAGTAGTCCTGCTTTTTGTTCTTCTCAGAACCCTCCCGGGCTCATCTCCCTCCTTGCTCACGTCTACCAGGCATGAAGATCTGTCCTCCTTCCTTTCTGCTCTCAAATCTCCACTGTCCCCCTGCCACTCCACTTCAGCCACCTGAGCCTCCTTCTGGCCCCTCCCACAATGGTAGCCACAGTCCTGCCACAGGGCCTTTGCACTTGCTATGCCCGCTGCCTAGACTGCTGTGTTCCTCCCTCACCTCAGATGTCTTTGTTCAAGCCTCACCTCAGCAAGGCCTTCACTGGCCACCCCATCTAAAACTGTCACGCACTCACACTGCATGTCTCTTTCCCTGCTTTTTAAAAAAACTGTCTACTCCCACAAGAATAAGTTCTTTGAGGACAGGGATTGTTGTTTTCTTCACAATACGCCGTGGTCTCTAGAACGGTGCCTGAAATGTCGTATTTGCTCAGTAGAGTTTGCTGAAGTTAGGGAACTGAAGGTCAGAGTCTCAGGGTCAGGGCGAAAGCAGAAGAGGCCTCATGAAGGGCACACGGGTGCGTGCCACGGTGGAGCGGCGAGGGAAGGCGACACAGATGGGGATCGAAGACTACAAAGATTTAATTGAAAATCACAGTGTCTCATTCAAGATATCTGCCCTTAGCGGCACCCCCAAATCCGAGTTCCTCCTGAGGCCCTTCCAGCTCAGCAGCGAGGGGTGGGCAGGGCTTCAGCTGCAGGGTCTGACCGGCGCCTGGCCCCCCACCCCCAGCTTTCCTCTGGAGGGTGAGGGCCAGGTCTCAGACGCTTGCTGGGGCAGGTTCTGCTGTGGCCGCGGCCGCCACAGGCTCCTTTTGCACCAGCTCAGGCTCATCCTCACCGTCCTGGGGAGGGTGGACCAGAACCTTGTCTAAGATTCCAAACTCCTGGGCCTCCATGGGGCTCATGTAACGGTCCCGCTCCATGGCCGACTCTGCAGGGGAAGCAAGAAGCAGGACGTGTGCGGTTAAGGGCAGACACCTGGGGCCAGGTTTGGGTCCCCGTCCTGCGGCTGCTTTGCTGCGTGGCCTTGGCCTCCCCCTCTCGGTGCCTCGGTTTCCCCATCGGTAAAATACCCGTTTCCATTTTGCCTTTTTTTTTCACTTGTTACTGATGTATAATGTACACCCAGCAAAGGGCACAGATGGTAAGTGGACAGTGTGAATTTCAGCCTGAACTTGCCCACAAGGCCAGCACCCAGATCGAGAAATGGGATGTCACCAGACCCCCCCTGACCACTGCAGCCCTGCTGGAGCCACTGACTCCTCTGGCCCAAGAGGAACCACTAGCCTCACGCTGGGCTCACAGCATAGACAAGTCTGCTTCTTTTTTG